CTCATATATCCGAACAAAAACAAGTCCAAGTGGTGGTTATGTCAAAGTTTCCCATCCCTTTAACACTCATATTCGGACAGCCAGGCAGAACAACTCGTCCATCGAGCGCGTCGTCGCTCGCAACGCGAGTCTTTATAGCGGCCATTAATGTGCATTCCTACTATCATCTCTATGAACGACTGCCTCAGGAGAAAACGGCCACGGGTCCACTACTTCTCTTGAGTATTTAAATTTCATTAGGGCATTTCCTGCCCGACACCCCATCCCCCGAATTTCCTCCTCTCGTGCGGCCATTTGTGGGCGTGCCGTTGTTGGTGGGAGTATTGGTGGTTATGTCTGACCTTGCTGGGAATGCCTAGAGACTACTTTTCGTCGTTTTAGACATCACGTAAGGCTTACCCTCCCACTTCCCCATCCTAATGTTGCTGTCGAGCGGGTGTGCAGTCGAAAATAGTACGTGTACACGACGTCGGATGCGCCACCGACTAGAAGAGCGGGGTGTAAAAAGCGCAAGTGAAACAGGAAAAATCAGCCATCAAAAAAATTTTCCAGGTCAAATACGACCCCTCTCTCCTCCTCCGATCAGAAGCGACCCTCCGCTGGGGATTCCTCGACGGGCGACGTGCCCTGATTTTGGATCTTCGAGTAGTGCACATTTTCAAAACACCCTGCATAACAAAGGCTTTGACAAAGTTTAGTTCCCGGTACCGCTGGCCTCATTAGAGTTGTCCGCAAATCAAATTGTCCACGATATTATTACGAATGCGATCTACCGCGAACATTTAACAAACCTTGTTTGTCAACTGGGTTTCCATGGCCCACAAAGGGCAGCAAGCACTAGAATCAGTTGGGGTAGACCAGTAATATTTGTAAGCATGTTCAGAATGGACGACACGTTATCAAAATATCGATATCCGATGAAGATTCTGCTCTTCAGGCTTTACTCGCACGTCTGCTTTCACTCTCAGAGATTAGTGGTTGGTTGGATGTCAACGTGACTCTCTGGAAACTCTGCTGCAATAAGAAGTAAAAAGTTAACAATTATTTCGGAGGCAAGGCAAAGGCACAATCAGGGGCGGATTCAGGGCAGCGTGCAGAATGAGATCTGGCCACACTTCCCAGCGTACTGGAAGCTCTAACATTCAAAAGGCGCCCTATAATCACCCTTGACTGTGCCTTTACTTTAAATAAAAACTGAAGAAGCTCTGTGATCAACGGTTCTCTGCAAATATATAAGTTCAACGGGTTATCAAGCGCAGCATGGCTTCTGTTGTTTGTAACCTACTACGCGCCCTCCGACATTGCACAATTTGGCGCCAAGTCAATTGCGTGCAGCCTCATTAGCGTACCATGTAAAGCGGCAGTGGGCAAGCTGGGTGGGCGCTTTATCGCTAAGGCTACATTGGTGGAAAGGCGATGAGACGGAAGTGAGGCTCGAAAGTCATTCGCAGCCCTTCGCCACATGACGTTGGCAAGCAAACCACCCGCCCCGAGCAATTGTATCCTCTGCCTTTAGCACCAGTACTTCAGCACAACGAAGTAAAACACGCAATTTCGAATTGGCAGAGTTATAAATGCTAGAAACCGCGAGCGCTGGAACTGATGAATGCCTCAGTGAGTAATTTGGTAAAATGCCCTGTGGCTGAGAGAAGAGGTCGCGCGGTACTTTTTCGACAGTGGTTGTAGCTGGGCAAGTATCTTCATTGTCGTTTTAATGAGGTCGTTAGGCCCCGCCAACCACACACAGGTGTTTGCCAATTCCATTAAATCGCGTGTAAGTGTAGGAGTCTCCTATCACAGAAGAAGTTTCACCGGTCGCGACTTAAACAACTTCAATCTGGAAATTGTCAGTTTCCTTTAGCATTATTCCTTCAGATAGTGACCTTGAGCACTTTTTAAATCATTTGAATAAATCCTGCGCTTGAGGCTAGGGATATGCCTTCAGGGCAGCTTTTTTTGGCGATGTGTCATTACACCCACTCAACACCATTGTGAGCTATGGTGCAGGATGGGGTTATTCGTAAGGATTTCCATTCGGAGGCGGAGGGTGCATTGGCCCGCTTCCCACGCGCACAATTCAGATCACATCCCGGATCTTCCCCTGCCCATGCCAACAAAGCGCTCTACCCTCCGCGGACGGTAAAATTGGTACCATATTTATCTAGGAGGATAAGAATACTGTTCGGCTACCCCTCATGATTATAGTTGTCCCAAAACGAAAATAATCCACCGAAAGCATGCTGCCGCGACATTCAGTTGACGTATGTGCTTAGCCGCACCTACCGCATCCCAGGAACTAGTGATATACATAAGAGAACACTAAAGTGGTTTATTCCCTCCCCCTGAAGAAGTATCGTACGGAATCATAGTTGTTAGCGGGATTGGGGTCATGTTTGGCACTGACAGAAACTCAAATATGGATGTTCGTCTTGAACTCACCCTCTTATGGCTGATGATTTCAGCTTTTTCAAATGCCACCAAATGCCATTTGAGACAGATACCGACCAGAAGTATGAAGATTTCAAGCGCAGTAAGCACCACGAAGAATAACAGCCGATATTGATCAAGAGCGTTTTCAGATCCTGCGAATGAGCCCAACATAACATTCTCTAACCAGTATTGCAAGCTAGTGTAGAAAAGCTCACCTTGAAGTCTGACTGGAATCACTGATGCCTGTTTCTTCTTCATCTTTGAATGGAAATACTGCGATGTAAATGACAATGGCGGCAGTCTTGATAAGAATGCCAGTAATCTGTAAAGTTATAGTACTTTATCGTGACCGCTTTATCGTTTGCAGAGATCATGAGAGATCTGTATCTACTCCTTCTCAACCGATGCAAGACCGATACAGGGGAGGGGGGGGGGTGTATACGTGGGAAGGTAAGACGTCTCGTTGAAATGTTTTCCACGACGACATGCTTGAGCTTGACCCTCCGCCGCCGAAAATCTACGTTATTCACCTCAGTGATTTTTGATGTATAGTAGTTAAAGATACATGGTACGATCACACATATT